CTCTTTCTATTCCTAATTCTGAGCACAGTTCCTGACCACAGACTTCCTGCCTGACCTCCGACAAACATTAATCGAATTAAGTCCGTCGATAATTTTCTTTTTCTATACAGTTATTTGCAAAAATATTCGAACTTAACTTAAATTTTTGACAAATCAAATACGAACATTGTAGTTGAACTTTGAAAATAATACTGTACAAGATAATAATACTAAAATAATACTATTAAAGCAATATATAAGCTTTGAGAATGTCTGAATAAAATTGTAACATTGTGTAACAAAAATTTGTTATACGTTGTGGAACAAAATTTTTGTTAACCATCTAGAATGAGAACAGAGATACTATAAACAATATTCAATTTTAATCTATCATAATTTAATATATGATAAATTACACACAAATTGATATAATTGAATTTTTCACATTACTGTATCATTTTGTAGCAAAAATTTATTTATTCAGCTTTAATTCTTGTTCATTTTCACGAAATATGTGGAACAAGCTGACACCTATTTAAAGCAATATAATATTTTATTTAATAAAATTTTAATTTAATATAACAAGAAAATTAACAAGAAAATTTTATATAATAAAATTTTAATTTAATATAAATTATCTCTCGTCTTCTGAATCTTCTTCAGAATCTAAAAAATTAAACACATAAATTTGAATCTTCTGCTTTTGACGTTTGAAAAATTTAAAAAAATTTAATTCGTATCTGTTATTTTTAATATTTAAAAAATAAAACACGCCGATTTATGTTTTTTAATTCCAATATTTGAGGAATGCAGAATGCCAATTCACATCTCTCATTGATATAATGTTAAAAATATTTGTATTGACTAGAGCATTTAGTAATACTACTTCATGATATTTAAATGCAATTATAGTGGCTCCCTCTACAACGCAAAAAATGCATTATGTTTTGTAGAATATTGTTTAGGTTATGGTTAAGTAACTGTAAAGGTTATGTTATAGTGAAATATAAGAATATATCGGGAAATAACACACTAAATTTCTGCAAAACTACAAATAAACGTTACTCAGAATAAGTCATGTAGGTTTTCCCGAAAAATTAAGTTGGTTCTACAGTGAAAATTATTTATGACTCAATGATACGTGGACTATGACCGTGATGTCGAATTTGATTGCTGTGTGAGCATGATGCAATGTTTTCTCACGAATTTGCTTATGCAAAGTTGAATACGTCTATGCAACTTCAAGCACTGACTATTTAAAAAGATGTGAAGTAATATTAGATGTGGTTTTACTGTGTTTTTAAGCTGTTAATGTTCTAACGCTGAAATATTTTAAATAAAATTTTGTTATGTAAGAAGAAACAGCAACATTTCAGTTATTTAAATTGTTTATCAAAATGTTAAGTTTATCTGACATGTTATATAGTGGTGTTTAAGAATAAACTGACAATATTATATACGAGATACAACAATAATGAATTTATTTAAATATCCAAATGTTTAATGATATACATTTTTCTTAAATGGGACTTTATAATTTCGGCTACTTTAATTGATGCAATTTTACATCTTCTACAAAAAGGCATTAAGGTATTTAATCGTTTTACTTTATTTTCGAAATCATTCCGATATGACAATAAATATTGTAAGATGTTTGTGATAAAATAAATGTTCCTCCAATGTTGACTAAATACTTTCCTGCTTCATTCATCATGTTACTCAATACCTGCATAATTTCTTGTGTTAATAAAGTGCATAAAATAGTAGAGTGTCTTTTAAATAATATTATTCTAGTTTGTCTTCATCAGAAGCATTTTACACTTGTGTTAATATTTTTATTAGGTTTTAATGAAAAATATAAGAATGCAGTTTTCCTTTATGACTCGTTTCATATACATACTTCGCTTTTGTTGCAACACTGCGCAGTTCACAAATATTTAATAAAAAGTACCATAATACGTGTGGAAATAATAGAAGAGAATCCTTGTTATATTTGCAATTTAGAGGTTACCGATTTCAGTAATTACCTTGATCGTGGTTTCTGCTTTCATTGCATTCAATTCTAGAGGGCATAACAAACCTCTGATCCAGAGTTCCCTAATGTAGTTATGTGTGTTTTCTATGTTATCGGCGTAATAATAAATGAAAAAACCAAAGCTTTTTTATGTAAAACATATATGATATGCTTAATAAAAATTTAATAGAAATTTATGTTACTAGAAGTAATTGCAAATTTTTCAACTGCTTTTCTAGTTATTCTGTCTTTTAATATTTTATATTGCTTATTCAATTTATTAAAATATTGTTTACGTGCGTTTCGGAGGATTGAAACAATTTAAAAAGATGGCACTTAAATCGGCTTGCATTTATTGTATGTTTGGCGGAATTTGATTTTAAGAAAATACATGAGATTATTGCCTACAGAGAGAAGGTAGAAGAACATATTTCTTCTATACCTTGTGTATAATGATTATTATAACTAATTAAATTACTGATGGTAAATATTACCAATAGCATAGCTCATCTATACCAATGATTGGCAGTCGATATATTACCGATTATAGATATGCAATTGCAGCGTGCAAATAAATTTTCTTTATTTATTTTTATTTTTTACAATGTCTATCATTTACTCATATTGCTACAACGCTTATTCTATCTTATTGTGTACCATAAATTTTACACAGCTTGTAATAAATTTTTGTGCTGTTTATTATGTACATTTTATATACAGTCAGTTTTATATATATTATAAAAGTATAAAAAAAATACAACTTTAGATAAGTTTTAGTAATCTCTATACTTTCTATAAATATTGCAGCTATCAAACAAATAAGCTATAGGAAGGACAGAGGATGAATCTGTCATTAAATAGGTAGATAACTTTTGAAGATTTATTTAACAATGTCTCAGATTGCCACCATGTATATATTAAAGATACATTCAATTACATGAAAGATAAATCAAAATAATTACGTTTCTTAGATCTCTATATAGAGATCTTCAATAGATCCCTAAATCCACAGTGGGTAATGGAATGTATTACTTGCAGATAAGATAGTGTTACTACTGTAGCGACGTATTACCAAGAATTTAAAGGTGGGGGTTTCGGGCGGGTCGCAAACGGACACAGGCGGAGGAAGTGAAATGCTCCCCTTGCCCCTGAGCCCCCGCGCGCCATCTTTCCAGCTCTGCACAGTACATACAGCTGTTTGTCGGCTGCGTCGATCGCACGGCGAAAACGAAAAATCGAGGACAACTTAACCTCACGTGCTACACTACACACGACCACGATAAAGACCTCGAAAATTAGACGCTTAAAACTATCATAAACCTTAACCGGAAAATCATAGTAATAAATCACCCAACCAAGAACCGATCAACCCTCGAATTGTCCTTCTTCGTACCCCCTTTCCTACTTTCACTTTTCTATCCACTATCTTCCCCACTCTCACTTTTCTCCTCCCAAAATTTAAGGAACAGACGACCCAGGCTAACGTTCATTCTTTGGTTAACTAGTGACAGAAACGGTGTATATACGAGCAAATAATTCTCATCTTCATTTGTTTATTTTTCGTTACTTGTTATTTATCGTCGCTATACGTTTATTTGTCATTAAAAATAGTGTTGAAGAAATTCGATCAAGATGTCATCCGGTAAAAGGCAATCGGTTACTGTGGCACAACGTTTGGAGATTGTTCAAAAATTGGAAGACGGTGTAAGTGTTGAAGATCTCGTTATGGAATACGGTGTCAGTAAGAGAACTATACGCCGGTATAAAAAGGACTCCATGTCGATTCGACAGCTGTCTGAGAATCCACTGTGCATGCATTTGAAAAGGCAACGGACATCGTTATACGAGGACATGGAAGCCGAGCTATACAAGTGGGTCTTGAAAAGGCGGGCGCTCGGAAGGACCCTAACCAACACGTTACTGCAGGAGAAGGCCAAGGAGCTGCACGCTGAGTTTGGCAGTTCGTCAAACTTCACGGCGAGTCAAGGTTGGCTCTCTCGGTTCAAAACCAGGTATAATATACGTCTCGGGACCGTGCACGAAGAAAAGGTGGATAGCGACGAGCGGGCTGTGCAGAAATTCATAAACGAACTAGAAAAATTGTTGATTCGCGAGGAATACACCGAAGAGAATATTTATAACATGTGCGAGTCCATTTTAATGTGGAGGGCTCTCCCCACAGAGGCACTAACACAGGAAGAATATCGAAGGACGTCTGTCACTAAAATGAAGAGGGATCTCGTTACAGTGGCGTTCTGTGCTAACGCTACTGGTAAACACAGGTTGCCTCTGCTTTTTGTCAACAGGTATGCTAACCCCAAGGCTCTCAAGCATTGCAAGCAAATTTTACCAGTCGTCTACAAATACGAGTGCAACGGTTGTATCAACGAACGTGTGTTTAGTGACTGGTATTCTAATCATTTTAAAGTTAGCGTGAGACAGTATCAGTTACATGAACATCGTAAAGGAAAGGTGCTGTTATTAGTGAACCATTCTAGTGCACATATGATTCCCGAGGAACTTCGGTATGACACTCAGTTCAAATTAGTGCTTTTCCCGCCTAACGTATCTTCCTATATAGAGCCTATGGCCCAGGGTGTGATCGGCAGATGTAAGAAATTATTTCGTCACGAACTGCTGCGCAAGGTTCTTCGATACGATCGTAACATCAGGGAATTTTACGCATACTATGACATAAAACATTGCATAGACTTGATCACGGACTCCTGGCGTGCGGTAACGGAGGGGAGCATTAAGTACTCGTGGAGAAGACTCCTGAAACGACAGGCTATAGCCAAGAGCGCCGAAACAGAGGGTAACGATAGCGTCTATCAGGATTCGGAACTGAATCAAATTATTCCGACGGAGCAAATCGTCAAATGGATATCCGAATGCGAAGAGACGGAGTCGATATTAGACAAACGTAATGTAAAACACGAAAGCTCGGCACACCGTTGTCCCATAGAGGACGAAGAATTAGACTATATATTCCTCATGTTAGGAAAGTGGGCCAAAACGCAACCCGAACTTATTCAGTTGCAGACGAAAGTTTTAGTTGATTATTATAATAAATAATAAACTTGGTTTCCTAATTCAGAAACTTTTTTTAATCTAATTTTACATTACTTGGATTATGCAGCAGTGCTCGGTTAAATTGTAGCGCGATCTGTTCGGTTAAATTGTTACGGTTCATCCCCACTCTTCTCCCACTACTCCGTGTCTCGAGCTCAGCGAAATCTGACACGGTAGACAAGGAGAGAGAATTGGTAAAATGGGAAGGAAAGAGACAACAGATGTAGGACGAAGAGATGCCACTATTGAAAAAAGCAAACATGTAGCATAGGAAATTTTACTTTTTGGAATTTTTAGTTTAAGTTTTTGGAAATAGTGTCAACGCGTTGCTAGGATCCTTCCGATTAAAAGAAGTCAAAATACGACATATATCGGACTATTTTGTTATTATTATAATTTATATATATATATTAATTATAATTTTATTATAATTAAAATTGGTTCGAATTATACCGTGTTTGGACTTATTTTAACCGGAAGAATCGCAGTGATGCATTGGTACCATTTTTACAAAGATCATATAAAAATTAGGAAAAATATTTTTCTAGTGGTTATGTCAACGTACTATATCTACTTCGCTTCCTCTTGTCATACCTCTTTTATTTCTTTATTTGTCAAAACTCGAGTCAATTCGATTAAAACATGATGTCGGCTTACGATCTTTTACAATTTAACCGAGCATCCATGTATAAGGACAATTTTATTACTATTAGTATTATTATTGTGTTTGCTATTATTGTTATTGTTATTATTATATACATAAGTATTTTTAAGTATATAGGTATTATGAAATTTATTTCGTACCCTGTTTCTTGACTAATTAAATGAAATTTATTTAACTTAAAATTCATCCGGATGTAGCCATGTTTGGTACCATTCTGATGGTAACAATTTTGACAATTCGATGAAAATAATGTTATATCGTTAAAGTGAAAAATAGAAAAATTTGAATTTTCTTGGTTCGATGACTCATTAGTGGTTGAGTCACCGTCGATACGGATCGCAGATAACGTCGAGACATGCTTTGAGCGAGTAGTTCCAGGAAGTGGTGGGGATAGCTCGTGGCCACTTATACGGACAGGTCGGTAGCCATTTAACTGGACAGTACCGTATGCCCTGAGGGTCGGACAGCTATTTTGGGCATCGAGGTAGAAATAAGAAGTGTAGTACAGTGCTGTACAATGTGCGTTTTGAATAGGTTCTAGTAAAATATTTTTAACATTTTTATTTCTGATAAAATTCTGCCAAGTGTTAAAGTTCTTTCAAATACTGTAAACCTTAAACGAAGTTTACAAGTGACTACGAATAATAGTTTTATAAATAGGTATTATTAAGTTAGTCAACGATCTTTTTCGTTTTATTTCGTTTGGGGTATGAGACTGTAAATCTGTACGGCCCTGTGTGTCGTAGTATCAATCGGTTTAATCACCCGATACATTAACTTATGAACCTACAATATTCTGTATTTTTTTTGTCTCTCGACTTGAGGGCTTGTAAGCATTCTTACCATTTTTCAACATTTCTAATTCTGCATACAATAGAATTGCGATATTAGTGGTGATTGAAATTGGAAGTAATGTCTCTATGTTATTAGGAACAAGATGTGGAGTAGGTTATCTCAAAATAACAGTTTCAAAATACTTATTTGTTTTCGTACAGGTTATGTCAATACCTTTCAACAGATAGTCGATTATGATTTTCAGGAAAAATAAAGCATACTGTGAATGTTTCCCAATTTTCAAAATGCTTTTAACGCATAAAAGAATTTTTATCTTCGAAATTGTTAATCGCATTTTCTTTTTAATTTACACAAAATGGAGAATTTAAACTTTGTAAATAATTACTTTTTGAGGCAGGAAGCTCATACTATACTCTTACTATATGTAAAGTTATAAGTAAATTTTTATTTTGTATTTTTCTAAATAATTTGTAAAAATCATCTAATGTACTTGAAAATTTGGAAAAGTATCATTATATGTAATTTATTTGAAAAATTATTTTGTAAAAAACATCTTATATGTTACAGGATAAATTTCTAAAAATAAAATATTTTTTTAGATTGTGGAATATAATATTGTACCTGAAAAACTTACAAACTAAAATTATACATGTACATTGTATTTATGTTATATTTTATGAGTATCAGAAATGTGTGTGTGTGTGTGTGTGCGCGCGCGCGCGCGTGTGTGTGTAAGATAGAGATAGGAAGAAAGAAATTTAGTGATTAATCAATTACTATGGTCATATCATCTTTTCCTTTTTTTTATTAAATATAAAGTTATTAAATATAGTTATATTGTTGTTATTTGAGATTGTACTTATTAAGAAAAAACCTACCTGTGAACATTCCTAAACTATCATAATTAAACACTACGTGTCATAACTGAACACTATATATTTTATTTAAAAACAGATATATACATTTAAGCACTTTAGCGTTAATCATTGTTTTCTGATTAATTACTTACGTATGTATTAAACTTTTAACTTAAAAGTAACCAATTTAAATAAAAATTAAATTAAAAAACTTGAATACAAACACTCTGTCTCATTATGAATTTACTTTACCTTCAAATTTAACTTAAAAGTATTTTGGCTGATCATGAATTTAACTTAATAAATATTATAATTAATCAAAAGCCTGTCTTAACCTGTAAATGAAAGATCTAAAGATTGAGATCATATGTTCTGCCTACATAAACATTAAAATATAATAAAGGAAGAGAAAGAAAATATTACATCAAATATCACTTAAATACCTTCACCATTCAATCTAACCTTAAAATTCTTCATAAACACTATGTACATTATTGTATATGATCCTTCGACGAAACGTTGTTATATCATGAATAAGAAGAAACTTAAATGTTTTCTCTTAAGTCCATTTCGTAAAATATTTATTTGTGAAATGCACAGTTTATGATGAGAAGAACAAAATTTTAAAACAAACCTCTCCCTGCAACTGACTAGTTATGACTGACACTTGAATTCGCCGTGATGTTTATACATATACGTATATATATGCATTGGATTTTTCACAGAGTGGGGGTATCAGAAGTTGTACTTACAGTCTTATGACATCAAATATTAGCATATTTAGTTTTCTCAAAATTGATAATTGAAAAATGATACCAAATTTTTATTTTAAATTTCCAATATTCTTTTTGAATATGCAATATACACTTCTATAACAATTAAATAGTATAATATATTATAACAATTAAAATAGTATAATATATTATCAAAGGTTTATATAAATTTACTTATATATCGTGGTACGTGTCTAAAAATTTCATTTTACATTTATATGTATATCCTAAAATTTTACTGAAATTTTATTCTGCGTTTAAATTAATTTAGGATTATATGATAATCAATTTGATTAATCCTCTGCACTCGAGAGGCACCCTGCAGTCGCCATTTGATAAAATTTCGAAGATCGATATTAATTAATATGTCAAATTCAAGATAATGTAACGGTGCGCGAGATATCAAAATCAAATAATTCTACGTGTTAATTATTACACGATTTCTTATTTACTGCTCAAAGAAATATCGTTATCTTTATAGCAGAAAATTTTTAAACTCCTACCCTTCTTTAGCCAAAAGAATCATCGAATGCAAAGGGTAAACTATGATTAAATTCATTAATATCTAAATGCTTTATAGATATACTGTAACAATTTAATTGTTATGAAACTATTTAATACCTCATAACAATTAATATTATAAGTGGTATATATTCTACTTTTTTATATTATATTTATTGTATCACTATACAATATTTACACTATTTTAATTTGTATGAAACGGTAGAGTGTGAATAGCGTGTTTAGAGCTTAATAGTTAGTACATAGTGCTATTATAAGTTCAGTTAGTGATCTCTATGATTCAAATTCAGAAGGACAATACTACATATCTACTTACTATATATCTACTATGCTATATTAATTACTGTCTTAGTTACTACTATACATCTACTATGCTATACTAACTACTGTTGTAATTAATACTATATATATGACATATTATATGACATATTATATAAGCAATATATAATAATATTGTAAATTTATAAAATTATATTTAATTACCAGCTGCAATTGAAATATTTTCTTCTTACTATTAGCCTATTTTGTGTTTCACTGTCTCTTGACATTACTTATCTAGTAGGAGACATACAAATGTTACAAAATAAAAAATATTTTCCTATTTATATTTCTCAATTAAATAATAATTCATTCTCTACATAAAACATAGTCTTTTTTAGATAGTCTTTTTTATGTCGTTAGATACCATTTTTTCCATATCACATATTTCATACTCGATCATTTCGAATATGATTCTATATTAATTTCTTCGTCTTTGCGCATTTGCTTTATTAGAAAAAATAAACTTATTAATTTTATCAATTTTTCAGGAAAGAAAAAGATACTCCATTTTCAATTAATTGCCACAGAACCGAAAAATTCATCTATATCATAATTTAGAAAATGCATTGCTATTTTCACAATACCAGTTCCATTATTACGTAAATCTTATTTCTAACTATAACAGTACGTTATTATCTACAATTAGAAACCGAAGAAAATTGACAAGAACCGCTTTCGATATAAATCCTTCAATTCCTCTGCTTTTCGTAACTTTCTAAAATTACGTATTCCATATGACAGATGTTTGACCTATATTACAATTTTGTGTTCGAAAATGGAGTAAATATACCATACGTAAATCGTCGTGGAAGAAGAAAGAGGTTCTAGATACATTTTAGACTACATTAAAAATTTATATTTTGACAAATCCTACAAGTCTCTCGTTAATAAAAATTGGTCAATCGAAAAATTGTTCCTGGATCCTGTCGTGCGACATTTATGCTCAATTTGTTAATTAGGCGAAGGGTGGAACGAGAAAGTGTAATTAAGCAACCCTGATAAGCCGATGCAAAGCTATTGTGCTTTCGTCAGACTCGAAAAGGTCGGATTAATAGACACTCGTTTTGATGA